CAACAACACAGTTATCATGTTAATATCAATTTGTTAACACTTAATCATAAAAGTTAAAAAAGTTAAAGTTACAGCCTATTAAAGTCCACTGCTGAACATAGGCCTCCTCTCATTTCTGAGAGGGTTTTAGAGCAAGGAAATGTCCGCCGCGCTCCCTCAATGTGTGTTGGCGAACTTCACATGCCTTCGAAATTTTCTCAGACATGCAGGTTTCCTCACGATGTTTTCCTTCACCACCAAGCACGTGGTAATAAGCACTTAAAATTGCGATTAACAATTTAATTGGTGCTGGCGGGGATCGAACCCGGGTCGCGTACTGTGAAATTTACAGCTAGCGCTAACCATCTGAGTTACCACGGCTTAATCATATACATACACAATATTTAAATAAAATAATACACACACATGAAAATAACAGAAAAAAAGTAATTTAGTCAATAGAATAAACACTTACATCCATAGCCTTTGGTGTATTGAAGTAACACAAATGTACTATTGATAGATCCACTGTAGTCAAACGACCGTACACTAACTCGATGACTGCGTCTGTTGGTCTTATATACCACCAGTACGTAAAAATTCTAATCTAAAGTATTTCCGTAATGAGTTGATAATTACTTTATGCGTCAACCAGTTTATCTCACATTTCCGTTGTCTATCTCAACATTTCTTCGTATTGTGTTTTGTTTGGTGATCAATGACTCAAGTACGATTTGTATAACACAAAAATGCAATTTAATATTTAGAAACATATCAGTTTATCTCACATTTCCGTTGCCTATCTCAACATTTCTTCGTATTGTGTTTTGTTTGGTAATCAATGACTCAAGTACGATTTGTATAACACAAAAATGCAATTTAATATTTATAAATCACTATAATTGACCATTCCTATGTTATTCATTGAGTAGATTGGTACTGTAATAATCTACTAATAGCAGTAATATCATGGATACACTAGATGTACAACAACATCTGAAAAAGATTCACCCCAGTCTAGAAAATAATGTTTATGCAGCTAATAGACTGCCTATGTATACCCACGTACCAACGTATATAATATGTAATTTGGATACAGATGATAAACCAGGGTCACATTGGGTAGCTTTATATATCGATACGAATGACGTCGGTCAATATTTTGATTCATATGGACGATCACCTGTACGATATCATCTAGAGTTTTTAAAAAGGAATTGTAAAAGATGGAACTGGAATGTTGATAGGATTCAGAATGAGTGGACTTCAGTTTGTGGCGAATATTGCTTAATGTATTTGCTATATAAGTTTCAAGGATGTTCAATACATAGTTTTACGAGTATATTTACAAGGAACACATTGTACAACGATATTTTAGTGGATGAGATGTTTCGCTCCTATTTTATAGATAATAAGTAATAAGATTTTGTATTTTATAAATAAAAATTGTAACAAAATTATGTAATGTGTTTTATTGATGATTCAGATTAGCGTTGTATAATTAGAGTACAATACAATAGCACTGATATAGTCGACGCACACGCTGCAATGAAGGTGATTAATGAACAATAGAACAATAGAAATAGGAACAATGGGACGCTAATGACGGTGGAGGCCCTTACCGGATATCAATTAGATATTAGCTAATTGATCTACACATCTCCGGAACCGTGCATTCTACACAAAAATGGACCGCGGATTCGTGATCAGAGCATGCCAAAACCTTTTCTTTTTTTTTTTTAGGATCGTGTGTCGACGAACGTCGTTGAACCACGTCTGACTCAGGTGGTCTAGAAGTGGTACAACTACACTACTATCGCCACCATGCTGGTTCTATTAAAATTCATTTAAAAATTGTACAAATAAAATTATTGTAAAGTGAAATATGTTTAAAAAAAGTCCCGCTGGGTTTCTTGATGGTCTTTCCATGATATAGGTGTTTTCCGAAACAAAAGTAAATAAAAAAATTAACATTCAATAAGTATTATGTAATAATCTATATATCATTCTATTCTATTCTATTGCACATAAAATTGCAATTAAATTTCATTGAAGCCGATGGGGATCAAACCTGGGCTGAATTATGGTTAGCACTTGACTCTGTGCTACTTCGTGAATTTCAGAGGGATAAAATATTTTCTAATAAGGGCTACACACGATCACTTTTAACTGTCAGTTTTGACTGACCAGCTTTAACTGACAGTGAAAACTGAGTGTGTGTACAATGAAAACTGTCAGTTTTTTTATTATCAGTTAAAACTGATGATATATTGTTGATACATATTTTTTAACTGAAATGACGGAACTGATCAGTTAAAACTGTGCGTGTGTAGGCGGTGTTTCTTCAGTCGTGTTGCGATCACGAGATTGAGGTAAATTTCTTCACTCATTCTGAGATAGTTGTGCCAATCCTTCGAAACAGTTTTTAGTTTAGCAGTTCTGTTAATAAATTAACATGGGAATAAATTTTCCTTTTTTTTAACCACTCTTTACACCACTTTTTGCGTATATTTTTTAATTTTTATATTTTAAAATTAATAATAAACCAAGAACGGCTAAAGCGTCGTCGTCGGCTGATGACATCTTGAGATGGTAATGTTGTTTGTGGTGTGTGGGTGCAAAGGACGTAAGTTTTCACTCTCAGTTAAAACTGGTCAGTCAAAACTGACAGTTAAAAGTGATCGTGTGTAGCCCCCATAAGACATGTGAAGTCCGCCAATATGCACTGTAGAAGTACCTAGCGGACTAATTTTTCTATAAACCTCTTAGAAAGAGAGAAGGCTTGTGTAGAACATAGAGGCTTTAACTTTGATTTACTTTTAACATGAAATAGTTACGCCGATGGCGGTAAATTGGGGGTGGCCTCGAACTTTAGGCATAGTCATTTTGAACAGTCTATCATGTAGAGGATGTCATGCGGGTCATGGTTGAATAGAGGCAAAAAGTTCTCATTACACTCCTAGGGGGTCAAATAGGCCAAAAACTAAAAAATTCAAAATTCTTATTTCGGCTATAACTCCGTCTCCTTCGGAGGTTCTCACACAGTCTTTACTTCCCGCATCCCACTTGTTGTAAACTTTCAGAAAAGAGAACATTGTCTAGCAGTTTACCTTGTCAAAGTCCACTGCTAGACAATGTTCTCATCCACTGTAGGGCGGGTTTACCTTAATCCTTATGCTTGCTAGGTGGATTACATCAGACACAGATTACTAACTGAAAAGTCAGTAATTTATGATAAATAGAAAAAGGAGATTTTTCTTACATTTACCAAAGTTTAAAAGTATTATGGTAATTTCATAATATTATCGTAACTTGGACAGTGTCCTTATGAATGTCATGCTTTATTGAAAACAAATGCGAAGAATAAATCAAATTTATTTTTATGTTGCCATACACGTATCAAATCAAATTTATTATATTTCGTCCACGTGGTTTAAGTGAAATTTGATTATTCATTGTTTTTCTTTCTTCTGCTTCGTTATCGGCCCATAGAAGTCCACATGATCCCCTCCTAGCATGAGCTCGAGATTTGAAAGGGACAATTTTATCCTAGTTCATTGGACGTGTGTTTAAGTTTATATACATAATTATGTTTATCTAAGTCTTAAGTCTATCTCCCATTTTATCTACTGTGGATATTATATCCACTGGGGCACACCAGTGCTTGAAGGGTGGATAAAACTAAGCGAAGGGATAAACATTTTCTCCTTTCCCCGGGGATAAAATTGTCTTCTGCCCATGCTAGCCCTGATGGTGTGGGGAGGATTTGCCATATCTGTCGCGCTTGGTAGGCGGATGGACAATCGCAGTGCCAGTCGTCTCCCACCAGATGCTGATCCCTGTTGCCAGTCTGAACTGCTACTAGTATACATCTCAGGGTGAATTTTTTAGGGTGGATAAATGGAATAACCCGGGCTTTCGAGTCAGAGCAATGTGACCGTGATGTCTTAAGGTTGTAGCCTAACCATGATTTTAACTACTTAAGCATTGCTATAATGTCACTGTATTTTGTGACGATGACGAGTGATTTCTTCCGGGTTAGCATAACACTTGATATATCTTGCACAGTTGATTTTTTTTTTAAAATTATGATAAGCAAGTGATGGTAAGTGGTGATGCTGCCGAAGATGGTGAGCTCTTAGCTTAACTAAAGCTTATTATCGCCTTGATGACACCAGAAAAAGCAGATGTTATTGAATTATTTCACTCCTTTGCTGTACGTATTACAAGAAACGAAACAAACCGTTTGGTTCGAATGCGTGTAGGTGGAGCAGAGCATCTGGTTGTCCGGTAGTGGAAATTACATAATTTAAAATTAAAAATTTTGTACAGCCGACTTCAATATAAGTTATTAAGAATAACTCAAAAACTATTGGTCTGACCTTGATTAAATTCATATGGGACCACACGAGAAGTACCAGCTTTCAAATAAAAAAAAGAATCTACGAAATCGGTTCATCCAGTAAAAAGTTATGAGGTAACACACATAAAAAACACATTCAGTCGAATTGAGTACCGTCTCCTTTTTAGGCATGGGTAAAAATATCGATATTTTTTAATAATTATATCGATATATATCGTCCATATTTTAAATCGCGATATATCGACATATCGATATTTATTTTACAGTATCGAATTCGATATATTTTAAAATGTTGCATGTCGTTTTTTTCGTTGTCCAACCGTCAGTAGATAAAATTTTGGACCTTATCTTAACATCATTCAAATGATGACGATATATCGATATTTATCACGCGATATATATCGATACTGTTTAAAAATATAGATTCGATATATATCGATATATTTTTTCCCTTTGCCCATCCCTACTCCTTTTTGGAAGTCGGCAGAAAAGAGAAATATTTTGCAATATTCGGAAGTGGTTACTGCGGATGATACCATATGAGGCCGTGAGGGTCTCATATAGTTCTCATATAGTTTCTGTTACGATTAAGTCAATGACATAATGTGTATTCATGTGATTTATTTTTTAAGTAATTATTATCCTTTTTTTTTTCCAGAATTTTTCGATGTACAATAAACCGTATACCGGAGACCAATTCGTTACTACAGAAGTGCAGACTGCCGCTGGGAATTCTAATTCATCCTTTCAAGGATCTTGATGTAAGTGATAATATGATTGCTAGAGTTACAGCCTATATACGTCCCACTGCTGCACACAGGTCTCCCTCACTTCTGAGAGGGTTTTAGGGCAAGGAAGTGTCCGCCGCGCTGCCCCAATGCGTGTTGGCGGAGTTCACATGTATGAAATATTTTTAATTTTTTTTTTGTTATTTTAGATATGGTTTCTTCACGATGTTTTCCTTCACCGCCGAGTAGGTGGTAAGTCAGCACTTAAAATTGCAGTTAACAATTTCATTGAACCCGGTTTGCTCGCGTACTGTGAAATTTACAGCGAGCCCTTACTAAGTCCCTGAGCTACCACGTCTTAATTAATTCTATAATTACTAAAGCCTGCTTTGAATTACGAAAACAAAGGTAATGAAAAATTTATTAAACAAGACTAAAATCTTACCGCTGCTGGACTAGGCCCATAGTGCACTGGGTCTTAAACAATGCTAAGTGATTTTGAGTTTCCTCGTATGGTCAGCTGTGGAGGACCACGTTTTAGTTCCGTAATTTATCACTGGCAACCCTTGATAACGACATTTGCCCCGTTTGGCAGGGAGATTAACAATTTTGCGAAAAACTTTACATAGCATAGATATTGTTCGAGTTTACTTAGCTCACATTTTTACCCATACAATGATGTAATGGTCATCCTCCGTGACGAAAAAATACATCTTTTTATAAACATTTGCGTCTTTTCGTTTGGTTGAAGCACCATACATTTATCATCGGTTTACATTTTTATAAAGTTTCTATTATTTTATTAAGGTCATACCAATCCAGAGATGGATAGAATTAATAAAAATACTAACCAAGTATTGTCTTAGCAAATAACGTCATGCCAAAAATAATTGAGATATATGTACAGAATAATGGAGTTTTTAGAAAATAATGATATCTTTAATTTACGTGAACACTACACTGATAAACCAGTTTTTTAACCGATTTTATTGTGTTTAATTAAGTTACTGAAGTTTCGAGTAATTTGCAGCATTCATGGTAACGGGGGACTCATGTTCAAGGTCAGGGTCAGGGTCGTGAGATTTTAATTTGTCCCAAAACAGTGCCTTTTTTAATTATCCATATAACGAAAACTTTTATAACGATATAAAATACTCGGTCCTTTGAGACGCTTCTGTGGCGCAGTGGCTTAGCAATGAGTTGCAGCGGTAAGAGTCGCGGGTTCGAATCCTGCCCGGAACAAGTTGTATGGCCTACAAATAATTGTAACGGATCTGAATGTTTGTCCTTGTGAAATTTGTGTATGTAAACTGCCTCCACGATACAGGAGGAAATCCTAGTGTGGAGGTAAATTAAAAAAAATAATAAAAAAGATGAATCGCTATAGAGGGTTTACACGGTATTTACAACAACTATTGTTAAAAATGAGTACTACTTTGTTTGGTTCGTATATTGTTGTTTATATAATATGTGTATATAATGTTGCAGTCTTTGCCGGTGATACAGTGCACGACGATAGTCCGTTGTCGCGCGTGTCGTACCTACATCAACCCGTTCGTGTACTTTGTGGACTCGAAGCGATGGAAGTGCAACCTTTGTTACAGGGTCAACGACTGTAAGTGATTTTTTGTTGTAGCGGTATCATCTCTTTTTTGATATTCACTTGTATTAGTGATATTGTATGTTTGTATTTGAAACGCGGTAGCTCAGGGCTAAGAGCTCGCTGTAAATTTCACAGTACGCGAGCAACCGGGGTTCGATCCCCACTGGCACCAATAAAATTGTTAATTGTAATTTTAAGTACTGGTGTACCACGTGCTCAGCGGTGAAGGGAAACATGGTGAGGAAACCTGCATGTCTTCGAAATAAGAAAAAAATTATTTCGAAGACATGTGTAGTTCGCCAACACGCATTGGGGCAGCGTGGCGGACATTTCCTTGTACTAAACAACCCTCTCAGAAATGAGAGCAGACCTGTTGCCCAGCAGTGGGACGTATATAGGCTGTAATTTGATGTTTGTATTTAATTTTTATAGATTATTTTTATCCTTTCGAGTAGACTAAAGAAATCATAACCTCAGGGTAACAACTACAATGTCATCTATCTATTAATATTAAAAACTTCATTCTCTTTTTTCCACACTCTTACGGGTGAAATTTTTTCTCAATTTTAACAGTGGTAGAGCCACGCGGCCGCTTTTGCTGTCGCACGGATGGGCCGGCTCGAACCGGGGTGGTACCACGACCTCACAGAAAACCAGCGTGAAGTAGAGGTTTACCTCTGCGTTTCGCTTGGTGAGTGCAGGTGGCCGGAGGCCCTTTATACTGGAAATGAGGCATTCCATCTTAGTCCTCACGGGTGACAACGCATCTACATTTTGATTTGTAAGAGAGGATGTATGTAGATGTCTATGGGCCGCAGAAACCACTTACCATCAGGTGGACATCAGGTGGAATGCCTCATTTACAGTAAAAAAGGCCTCCGGCCACCTGCACTCACCAAGCGAAACGCAGAGGTAAACCTCTACTTCACGCTGGTTTTCTGTGAGGTCGTGGTACTACCCCGGTTCGAGCCGGCCCATTCGTGCGACAGCAAAAGCTGCCGCGTGGCTCTACCACTGTTAAAAACGCGTTATTACAAGTATTTACAAGTAAAAGATAAATAAAAACGTACCTAGTTTAATTGTGAACCTCCTATTTTTTAAAAGTCCATGTTCGTAAGTTGATATTTTAAATTAATGAAATAAAATTAAATATACAACTAAAATACTCAATAGTAAGTGTTAGCACTCTTTTTCTGCCCAGGGGTCTGTCTGGGTACGAATCCCCTTTTACCTGTATTTATCGCGCCACGCTGGCCCGCCCCATGGCAGCCCCTCTTAGAGGGAGGTCTTCTCCCCATTCTTCTTCTAAGGCAAGGCGCATCAGTAACACAAGGCGTGCCTTGCCTCCTCGGCTTCCAAATTCCACCTGCACAACGGGCCCCCTCCGAATCCGATATGCGGAGGCCGTGGGGCCAGGAAAATCGAGCACTCGGTAGCATCCGCTTTCCTGACCCCAGCGGCGGATCTGGTCTTTGGTCCCACCGCCAACCAAGTTTCGGCCGCGGAAGGTAGAGAGAGCGGCGCCTCGCAATACCGTCACTCCACCCCGCGGCCCCGCCACAACCGCATCAACGGTGCGGCCTCGTCAGAGTCGCGGAGGATAGGGCGAGTGGCTCATCGCCATAACAACACTCCTCTTCCGCCGCGACTCCACCTCGGCTGCAGCGGTAGGGGGAGAGGGCACCCCTCCCGCCGCAGCCCACCGACACACATCTGAAGTAGGCTCGCCAAGCGCATTCGGAATGGCCTCTTCGGGCCGCCCCTACACCACTGGCCAGCCAAGGGGTTCCTCTTTGGTCACCAAGCCACGGCTACTAAGGCTGAGCCCCTCCGCCAGGACAAGGCGGGAACCCGTTCGGGGGGGGAGGGGGGGAATAGTAGTTCTTGCCCTGCTGTGTTCCGGTTTGCAGAGGGTATGAAGAGCCTGTACAATTACAGGCTGTGAGGAATCCCATCTTAGTTCTTAGAGATGACAACGCACCTGGCCTACTTTGTTTGAAGTTGGTTGCAAGTGTCAATGGACTGCGGTAATCACTTATCAAAAGGTGGACTATAAGTTCGTTTGTTACTTCAGTTTTGTTACAAAACTAGCTGTTCTCCGCGACTTCGCCCGATTATAATTTGGCTTTAAATTTTAAAAACCCTAATTCTTTTTCTAAAATAAAGGTAGCCTAAGTTACTCCTTGTGACATCAGCTATCTGACAGTGAAAATCCCGTCAAAATCGGTCCAGCCGTTTCGGAGATTAGCCGGAACAAACAGACAGACAGACAGACCGACAAAACTTTAAAAATTGTATTTTTGTTATTGGTACCGTATATACTTTCATATATATTTAGTAAAAACCTCTAGTTTTGACATTACAAACAGACACTTGAATATTATTTATTTGTATAGATCTAGAAGATTTAACTTGGTGGTGTAAGCTTGGGTTGGCATTATTTCGTTCTGGTTAACACATTATAATGCATTCCACCTCAGTTTTTGTTAATGACAACAAACTTGTAGCTTTTTCTGAAGTTGGTGGCTGGTTTCGTAAATGGGCTATGAAGGTGACTTACTATTTGATGCTATGTGTGGTTTATTTGTCACTGTGATGTTTTTGCTCCTATTTGTTTTTAAAAAATAGCAAGCTCGGACTAAATTTGAACTCATTGACAATTGAAAAATGAACATGCAGTTTGTTTATTTTAAATAAATTTGACCTTCTTAAGTCGATTTTTATTACCTCATTTTGTTTCAATGAATCTCAAATATCCTATCTGAATGTATAAATTAACCGTGCATCATAACCATATATAACAACAGGAGGCCACATACTGATAGCAAGCACTAAGTTGGAAAGGTTATTTTTATTATATGAAGTGATTTATATTTATTTACAGTGTAAATAAGTGATGATAAACTATTCGTAAAGTTGTAAAAAATGTAAATTTTAAATCTAAAACGAAATTAGCCTGATAGTTGATAACACGATGAAGAGGCCGGCGGTAACGCAAAACCAAAATAAACGCGGGTTCGAACTTGCCATTCGACTCTACTACTCACTTAGGAGTGTAAATTAGTGTTAGTGATTAGTATTAAACATTTTAATACCAATGCGATCATAACGAGGAATTGAGTCTTGTGGATTTCGCTGCTCCATGCGAAGCCCCACATATCTAAATTATCATATATTTAGACTTAGTTCTGCAGCATATGTTGCAAGAAAGATTACAAGTCAGAAATGTAATGTATTGACATAAAAACATAAATAGCTTTGATAAGAACAAAGATATTCATACTTTTAATAATAAGAACAAATACAAACTTGTAACGCCAGTTATTAGACTTAACGAATCTAGTAATATTCTTGGCGCAATGTATAACTACATATTATGTTACATTTAAAAACCCGTTTTTAGATAGAACGCGTTTTCCCTAGTTAAAACTAGTTTTTACTAAATGCCATTGTGAAAACTATAAATACCAAGTCGAAACTAGAATTTACCGCAGATATATTTGATTTTCAGATAAAACTAGTTGACAACAAAGCTTCCTCACTCCCAAAATGTTGATGTAGGATGGTATTAATGCTCCCCGAACTAATGCCTACAATCTTTTAGATGTCCGTATATGTGTTTTCTCGCACCAACATTTCTGTAGTCCATACATTTTCTGCCGTTACTGCTGTTTGTGTGACCTCGGGGAGGTAAAATTAATCTTAAAGATGACCAAAGAGGTCTCTTTGAAAGAGGCATCTTTAAGATTAATTTTACCTCTTTTGAATTCAGCAAACCACCTAAAAATTGTTGCGCGTGATAGAGCTGAGTCCCGATCCCAATGCCGATTGTGTAGTGTAACCGGTGTAAACTTAATTGTTCGGTTAAACCAAATTCAAAATCATAATATATCATAGCGCGCAAATGTTTAGGATCCATCGTTTTAAATGAAAAGCGCGGGAAGCGTTGCAGGAAAATTAATAGAACTTTGTTTTTTTTTTAATATTGATTTATGGAGTTACAGGAGTACAATTGGCTTATGGAGTTCTATTTTTAATATAAAAAAAAATAATTTGCTTTTTAGAAACATATAACACGGGTGCGTTCCATTTTTAAATTTCGAGCATCTCAAAACTTCAGTAAGTTTTCTTTTTTCTCAAAACTTCAGTGATCTACGTATCTAGGACATAGAGTCATGCTCCTAGTAAAAGTAATAATCTTACACTAAAGGAACATTTTAGGGAACATCGACATAAAGTAGTAGCCAAGATGACAATATTAATTAAAAATAAATAAAATAATCGAACAAGTCAATAGAACACAACCATAAAATTTAAAAAAGGAACATTGATTGTTAAGGAACATTTGTTAACATACAACAAAATTAAATAAACAACCTTAAAATTAAAAAAATGAGGATCTATTTGTTATTGCAAGACATTTTAAACGTGGTAGAGCCATGCTGCAGCTATATTACTGGTATAGTTGTAGTACGAATGGGTCGGCTCGACCGGGGAAGGACCACGCTCTCACGGAATACCAGCGCAAAATAGCAGCATAACGCTGCTGTGTTTCCTATGGTGAGTGTAGAGAACCGGAGACCCTTTATACTGGAAACGAGGCATTCCATCTTAGTCCTCACGGGTGACAACGCATCTGCATTTTGACTCGTAATCGAGGATAGATGTCGATGTCTATGGGCCACAGCAACCACTTACCATCAGGTCGACTGTGTGCTCGTTTGTCATCCTAATTATATAAAAAAAACTATCGTAGCATTTTGAGTAAGAAAGGTAACCATTTTTCATTCAGAGACACCTTTTTGTCATACATCTTTTCTTGCATACGCAGCGCATTAATCCTTGGTCTGTCCCTATGGCTGCTGCCTTAGCAACAGTTCTCAAAGGTAAATTTATATTCGGAACATCTTCATGCAAAAATTTTTCTTTACACTTGCCGAATTCTGACCTGAAAAACACATTGAAATAGTTAGCTTTTACCTAATAGCGATATCGTTACATAATAAAACAACTATGCAATACATAGGTACGTTTTTCGTTCCAATCTTGTGAAAACCCTGATCATACTTTTGAAGAGCCACTTCGACTATATTACGTAGAACTGGTTTTGCTCTGTGGACATCAGGGATTTGTGTAGTTACATTATCACCGATTTCTACTGGAACGTGTATGCATCTGAAGGCTATGTCATTCTCTGGGCATGTTTTTTTAAAGTTTTTTGTGCTATTTCTCTGGATGCCATTATTTGTCGATTCACATTTGTTACAACTTCGAGGTAATACAAGAGGCTTTACAGTCGTAAATGCTTCAGCTTCAATGTTATATTCAATGGCTTCTGCTGCGATTGGCGATTCTCCATTTATTTTGGATGAACTTTCTTCGTCTTTTTGTTTGGCTCCATTTGTAATCTTATCCACTGCAACAAGCTACTCAGTTTCTGTATTATCTGTACTATCCGTCATATTTATTTTATTTAACGCATTTTCGAGATCATCTTCATCTCGTATATCCTCAATAACATCTCGAGCCAAAGTCGAAGTCATAAACCCTACTCGCAGTTCTATACCACACATTGCTCTATACCACAAATTGCTTTGTATGGTGACTGTTTAATACAGAAATGAAGTGCCCGATTTTTCATAAACTTTACAAACCGAATACCATTTGATCAATTTGTAGTATCGTTTTCTTGCATCCATGAAGCCAATATTTTCTCTGTGTCTTGGTTAGCCCTTTCAACATATCCTTGGTTTTGACTGTGTTTTGCTTTCCATGGACTAGTTTACACTCGGGCCAAATTGAAACGATAATAACCGGTTTAAAAATTGCTCTTTCCATCGCGTTCCCTCATTTAACTTTGAAGCAATGACAATTGCGCTCGAATCAGTCTATATGTGCTTATCAAAATAAAAACAAAGCGGGATTGAACAGCGCGCGGATGGCGCTCGGAAAAGGATTCCCCCGCACCGCCCCGTAACCTCGGTCGTTTAACTTCGGTCGGAGCAGTTCTAACTGACTCGCTTCGGAAAAACGCGTTTTGTCTAGTAAGAACAAGTTTTACCTGATATTCAGTTTTGAGCATTAGTTAATATTAGTTATAACAAAGGTATTCAGTAAAAGCTAGTTTTAACTAGGAAAAACGCGTTCTATCTAAAAACTGGTTTTAACTGTAACATATAATACTCTTTTACAACAAATTCTCAGAAAATAAATTATTTAATAAAAATGGAGTCATAAGTTCTTTAAAATCGTTGTGATTTGAAACTCGATGAAACGAAAAAGCAACACTAAAAATAGACAAATATCTACATCTATAGGAATTAGCATGCGATAGAATGAGATAGAATACAGTGTAGTAAGCGACAGTAGCCTAATGAGAGGGTGCAGATGACAAACTCAAAAGGTTGTGGGTTCGATTCCGCCATTTGACTACTGTGTCAAAAAAATAAATAAAATTAACCATATTGAAACCAATCCATTCATAACAATCCACGATTTCATAACATAAGACCGTCTAGCATCTATTTTGCGTACCACCTTGAGATGCAATAAATATATGTTCGGTAAAATTACTTTACCTGTAGAATGCAGTAGATGGCGCTATTACAAAGCAATTTTACTCTAAAGAAAATATTCATTTGATTATTACACAAAACATTTGTATAAAATGTGTGTAACATTTATTTGCTATAAAATTAAAGTTTTATCTTATATCTTATGCCGCACCTGGGTTATCTTATTAAAATAAATCCTTTGCCGTGGAATATTTTTATTTTAAAACTATTTCATTTAATTTGAAGGTTTCACTTCTACCGCGTGTGAATTGCACACATGTTTTTTTTTTGTTTGCATTCGAGAAGTTCAAACATAAACAAAAACTGTATAAAAGGGTATTTATAATTTTAAGGAATACTATTATGAATGAAAATTACCCTTAGGAATGAGGTGATCGCTACCATGCTCGTTCTGGTATAATTAATATAAAAAAATATTGTACAATTTAATGTCAATAAATAAAATGGCTGGGTTTTTTTTACTTGTTTTTCCCAGGACAGAGGTATTTTCCGAACCAGTGGTAAATAAAAATTGTATAAGTATTATGTAATAATCTAATTACAATCAAAATATTCTAGTCCATTATATTATATTCTATAACACAGACTGGTTTCCGCAACCTCTTGAGGAACCCTATCTATTTAGTCTCGCTAAAGATTTCGGGGAGCATAAGTACTTCACCCTGTAGCAAGTGTAGCCTAAATCCAAGTAGGACATGAGCCGCCGTTGTAAAGGAGTGGTTAACGGGATTAGTACTAGTGTTAACGAGGGCGTGATGATTAATTTAAATTGAAGAAGAAAAAAATGTTATCCATTTGGTCGCAGTGCCCGAAGAGTTCCAGTACGACCCAGTCAGTAAATCGTACGGAGAGCCAACGCGACGTCCGGAAATTAAATCGGCGACGATCGAGTTCATCGCGCCCGGCGAGTATATGCTGCGCCCGCCGCAACCCGCCGTGTACCTGTTCCTCTTCGATGTATCGCAGATAGCAAGGGACTCCGGATACTTGCAGGTGTGACACATTGTTTTTTTATTTTTTATGCTACGGTATTATCATCGGGTTGGGATATATCTATGAGCGGCCACAGTTCAGCAGGCATTTTCGCTAACTTTGTTCACATCAAAATGTAGTACATTGCGTCGTATATTTTATGAACTGTAGAAGCTGTTTAAAAGCTATATAGCATACGACGTAATGTACTATAAAGTGACTAATTTTGATGATAATGAGTCTTAGGAAAGGGATTGAACTTAAGAAAAAAAAATCATAACTCGGGCTAAGGCTCCTCGTTGTTTACTTATCATGTAGTATACTTTATTATCGTAACAAATACCAGATTGATTGATTTATAAATATAGTCTGATCAGTTAATAAAAAGGGACTTATTAATAGTTCGGGAAGATATATCTAATAAACAACGAATTGAGTTATTTTTATCTGAGCTGTTGTTCTTGACACAGATACACTAAAAAATGAAAATGCAATAAATAAATATGACTAGGGATTGTGACTGGAAGGTGACAAGCAAATCACACAATCTACCTGAAAGTACATGTATGTTGCGGTCCATAGACTTCTACATCTATCCTCGAGAAGATTAAAAATGTCGATTTTAATTCCCGACATTTCGGGTGCTTTACAGCACCCATGGTCACGGGAGGGGGGGGGGGATTCATTTAAATTTATTAAAAAAATTGTATTTATGTATGCTAAATGAATCGTATTTACAATATTGTGTTGGTTTAGTGTCAAAAAGATAATCATAAAATGTGGACCCTATAGATGGCGCTGTGGTAGAGTTATTAATAAATTTTATACATGCACTGTAAAAAGTCCGGACTGAATTCGGAGTTAAACTCATCGCGCTACCTACCGGAAAGAATAGAATAACAGATTCTCTCCAGCTGAGATGTTTGATAATTTACCTGTTTAATTTCTCAGGTGGTGTGTGACACGCTGAAGGAGAAGTTAGAGGAGTTGCCTGGCGATGCGCGGACGCAAGTTGGCTTCATCTGCTATGACGCACATGTGCACTACTATCTCATGGGCGAAGGCCTTACGAGGCCCAAAGAGATGACCGTGCTCGATATCGATGGTAAGACAAACATGCTGGCAGTGGCAGTCTCTTTTTTCCCTACCCTTTTTAAAATAAGCTCATAAAATGAATATCATAAAAGAAATGGCAATTTTGATGATGCATTGACGATTAAGTAACTACCTTAAATAATTTTTAGTGACTAGCTTATAATGTTTTCCAACATTGTATCAACTTTATCTGTATTATGGGTACATCGAAAATGCGTTAGCTAGACCAGGTAAGGTCACTAACCTCAACAACGGTACAGCCTACAAATCATAAGTTTTCGGGATTTTATTCATCCCCCGATTCAAGATATATTCCTAGTCCTAACTTTTTTAAATAAAACGAAAACAATTATAGTATTCTATAAAAGATAGTGAAATATCGAGATGGACAACTGGGAGATTTTTTTTATAGAATAAGGGCGACAAACTGGCACTTAGTTCACCTGATGGTAAGTGGATGCTGGGGCTCATAAACACATATATCTATCCGCGATTACTAATCAAAATGTAAATGACGTTATCTCAGATCGTCGCAGATGCGACGTCACCCGTGTGGACTAAGTTGGAATGCCTCTTTTCCAGTAAAATGGATCTCCGGTTCTCAACGCTCACCATATAAAACACAGCAGTGTCAAGCTGCCATTTTACGCTGGTATTCTGTGAGAGTGTGGTCCTTCTCCGGTCGAGCCGACCCATTTGTGCTACTATTAATATAGCTGAAGCATGGCTCTACCACGTAGTAAAATATAATATAGCTGTAGTTGGCTCAACCCCGTCAGAACTACATTAAAGGTGCTAGACGACGAACGTGGCGATTACAGAAAATCCTCCATATCGCAGAGACCTATGTCTGGCATTACTATTATTTGCATTGGAAAGAAAGTCATATACAATTAAAATATTTTATTTTTGAATAAAATACTTACGGATTTTATTGCGATTATATTTTATTGGTTTTTAACTTAAGAGAGCTTTGTAGCACACATGGTCATAAGCTTTTCGCCTTCTATGAAAGTAGTTTTATTTAATATAAGCAATCATTGTTCTTTATTCTATAAAAATATACAAATGTTAAACACTTATTGATAACCTCTTATTGACTCCTAAAAGAATGAAAAATAGTGTGCGCTGGCGCGCGGTAGTTTGTTAATTAGTGCGGGTAGTTTAATAATTACTCTGCAAGGGTATTTTAATTCTTATTAATTACTTTTAGAGGGGTTAGAGAGTTTAATTATTGAAGTTTTCTTTTTTACTTTTTCATAATATACACAACGACACGACAGTGGTGCATCACTATAACCGGTTTAAGGCCCATAAGTGCGACAGTGTTTAACATTAGTATAAAGTCCTTTTTGCATTTTTTTTCAGATGTATTTTTGCCATCACCTGAATCCTTGTTGGTGAATCTGGGTGAATGTCGTGAGATGATAAAGGAGTTGTTAACTGTTTTGCCTAAGAGGTATTCTACTCCAGGAGTACCAGTGTCAGCCCTAGGAGCCGCCTTGCTAGCGGCATACAAGCTAATGGTGAGTAATTAATATCTCTGAAGTCATATATTGTTATGTTTTTCTGGTTTTTTTTTTTGCTAACAAAATAACGATAGTAAACGCTTATTTTAGTAAAATTACTTTAAAACAATTCTGAGTTGGGGTTATAGTCATCATTACAATCATCCACAAGTCTACTGCTGAGCACAGGCGATTTGTCTTACCACTTACCATTGACTTTGGTCCCTTCTGAGAGAGGTAAAGTCTTAGTGTAGGATGCTACGTTCGTCGACACTTTGGCAACTTATTATCTCAAGGGCACTTCTTTTAGAGCTCGGGCAGCACCAGAGGTGGCTGAACTGAGTAAGTGGCGCAAGTATGAGTCTCATAGAAATGACTATATATTTGTGCCAATTACTGTAGAGAAAATGGGTCCGTGTGATCCACGTACGGTGAATTTCCTAAAAGAGCTGTATCCGCGACTTGTCGTCGTCGCTGGTGATAAGTGCTCAAAGGTATAACTATTCAGCGAGGAAACGTAAACAGAGTTCTTGGCACTATACTGCAGGGAGTAGGACTATATGTTAATTATTATTTTTTTAAACGGTAAAAATATTTGTAGAATTGATATGAAGTTTCAATACTTTTAGCATATCTCATTTAATGTTTTAAATATATTTGCTTGTACGTCCACTTCTTTGCATTTAGATGGAGGTAGGTGTTCATATTATTTCTTTTTAAATTCAGGCTCCAACTGGAGGACGTATCACAGTATTCCAAACTTGTCTCCCTAACATCGGACCGGGAGCTTTGCAATCAAGGTAATTCGAAAATTTTCAAGCTGTTTTATGCGTTAAAAATGTTTTTCTTTAACAAGTTCAAAACTGTTTTCTTTGTTTTATAGAGAAGATCCGAATGCTCGGTCATCGAAAGAAGTTGCCCACTTAAACCCAGCTAGCGACTTCTACAAGCGGCTGGCGTTAGACTGCAGTGGAGCACAGGTTGCAGTAGACTTGTTTCTGCTCAGTTCGCAGTACTGCGATCTTGCCACACTCAGTGAGTAAACACCTTTAATATGGATGCTGACAACAATATTATTAATTACTACATCATACTATAATTTGAATATGCTACTTTTTGTAATATATTAAATTTGAAAAAATTTACTGTGCCAATATCTCACCTCCCGCCCTCCCTCAGTTGCGTGCACTATCCCCGTCACCACTAATCCCAGCACCACTACTCCCACCACCACTACTCCCACCACCACTAATTCCACCACCACTATACTAGGAAAGACACACCATCGTCGATAATACGACACATGTTTCACCTCTCCACGAGGCATCTTCAGGTGTAGTAGACTCTGCGGTGGCTGACTCGGTCAAACTAAGTTCAAACTAGGTAAGACACATCATTTAATTTTATTCAGTGGATATTGGCAAAGTAAATTTTTTCAACTTTAATAAAATGGATTTCCGCAAAGTAACGCCTGATTCTATTAATTATTTTTGTAATTTCTCAAACTTTTGTTCAATATGGAAATCAAGTAAAAAATTATTTCTACTAATATTTAAATACATACTGTGTTTATTACTATATAAACTAGTGTTGGCGGCTTATAAAAATATTTCCATAGAGATGGAGAGTCTATGCTCCTATTGTATAGCAATTTCATGTATCGGCATACTATTATGTAATCGCAATGATCAAATGTTAAAAAAAATATCTTCCAATTGCCTCCCCATATAGCCAGCCAAACCTAACTGGCGGTGTAATAATTTCCACTACTCTATATCGTCCCGTGGGTGTCATAAGGGGCGACAGAATGAAACAATCAATGTCAAAAAATACTAAATTCAAGTTCACAGTACAATGGGGATCGGCATACCCCACTCTCCAATCCCTATCATGCTGGTATTGGCCAACATTGTGGCGAATGTTGCGGCCAATACTGAAAGCCATCGTGTAGAGCGAGTGTTTGTGCTTCACTTGGTATGATGGCCCAACACGTTGGCGCGAGATCCGTGTGGTGTCAGTTTTTCGCAAAAGATCAAAAGGTTGTGACAGTTTTGGCCGTCGCGTCCACACGGGCGCCTGTTTAGTTTGCTACGAGCTCCCAGTGATCGCACGTACCTGATTTAAATTTTATATTCACGCATCGTAACTAGTGTCTACAAAATGGCAGTAACAATGACCAATGAAGATACTTTTCGCTTTATAGAGCTCTACCAAGCCGAAAATTGTTTGTGAAACACAAGAAATAAAATTTCTTTTTTTCCATTTTCTTTTTATCACACTTTTCTTATACACATTCAAACGAGTTGAATGTAAATTCAAGAAAAACAACTTCCTTCTGCGTGAATTCCAATACATTTTAATAAATTCGTCCGCACATTGACCGGAACAGAAGCAGACTGAACAACCTTCCAACGTATGGACGCCATCACAAACTCTTGGCTAAGATCTTTGCCAACACATTCGCCACAGTATTGGCCAACGTAAAGAGCTGCCATAAGTCTAAATATCCAACAGCGGACTAAAAAGGCTTTTAAGTAGAAAGTATTATAATACATATAAAATTTTAATGCCGTTCGTTATAGGCGGAATGAGCAAGTTCAGCGCTGGCACAGTATACCACATCCCATTGTTCCGGGCAGCTCGCAACTGGCAGGCTGAACAACTGACGCGTATGCTTACGCGATACCTCACCAGGAAGATCGGGTTTGAAGCTGTCATGCGGGTCAGATGTACGAGGTATGGCTACACTCATGTTAAAAAAAACAAAAAAAAAAAAACAAAATAAGCTTGAAAAATTGTTCATATTCTTTATACTATTAATGTGGTATAACTGATCATAAATAATTTTTCTGTTTATTTACAGGGGCATTTCAATTCACACGTTCCACGGCAATTTCTTCGTCCGCTCTACGGATCTGCTGTCTTTACCAAATGTTTCACCTGATGCTGGTTTCGGAATGCAGCTGACGATAGAAGAATCACTGTCGGACTTGCAACAAGTTTGCTTCCAAGCTGCTTTGCTGTACACTAGTAGTAAAGGTAGGAATATCTTTCTTGATTTATTTCTATATAAGTAAGTGCACATCTTATTTTATGTTGAGAGGGTGTACTTGAGTGTAGGAGTATTTGCAGATGTACATGTCATTGAGTGCATGAGTATTAGGTGCACGTGCCCTTAAGTGCTTGAGTAATAGGTCAACGTGTCCTTGAGTGTATGTGTATAAATTAGGTGCACGTGCCGTTTAGTGCTTGAGTAATAGGTCAATGTATCCTTGAGTGCATGTGTATTAAGGTGCACATGCCCTTGAGTGTATGTGAATTAGGTGCACATGCACTCGAGTGTATGCGTATCAGGTGCACATTCACTTGAGTGCATGCGTGTTAGGGGCACTTGCCCTTGAATGCATACATATAAGTTGCACATGCACTTGAGTGCATGCGTAATCAGGTTCACATGCACTTGAGTGCATGCGTAATCAGGTTCACATGCACTTGAGTGCATGCGTAATCAGGTTCACATGCACTTGAGTGCATGCGTAATCAGGTTCACATGCACTTGAGTGCATGCGTAATCAGGTTCACATGCACTTGAGTGCATGCGTAATCAGGTTCACATGCACTTGAGTGCATGCATAAGCAGGTTCAGGTTCTTGAGTCCATGTTTTTTTTTTTTTTTATAGGAGAGGGGGCAAACGAGCATGCGGCTCACCTGATGGTAAGTGACTACCGCCGCCCATGAACAACCGCAACACCAGGGGAATTGTAGATGCGTTGCCGGCCTTTTAAAAAGGAGTAGGCTCTTTTCTTGAAGGTCCCTAAGTCGTATCGGTCCGGAAAAATCCCTGGTGGTAAACTATTCCACAAGGAAGTCGTGCGAGGAAGAAAACATCTTCTAAATCGCACAGTGGTGGACCGCCAATCATCCAGATGGTGTGGATGGTATCGGGAGTTCTGCCGCGATGTGCGTTCGTGAAATTTGGCGGCTGGGATTAATCCGAACAATTCCTCAGAGCACTCCCCATGGTAGATGCGAAAGAAAATGCAAAGAGATGCAACATCTCTTCGCAGTGCCAATGAATCGAGCCGATCGGAAAGGGCTCGGTCGTCGACGATTCGAGCCGCTCTGCGCTGGATGCGGTCAAGTGGAAGGAGCTGGCACTGGGGAGCCCCTGCCCAGAGATGGGAACAGTATTCCACGTGAGGCCGAACCTGCGCCTTGTAAAGTTGCAGGCGGTGTGCCGGCATGAAATACTGTCCCGCTCTGCTGAGCACGCCAAGCTTTTTAGAGGCCAATTTGGCCTTCTCTTCCAAGTGACCACGAAACTGCACGTCACTCGATATGTCGACTCCGAGGATACCGATACTGGCTGAGGCAAGAAGGGGAGTGCCTTGAAACTGAGGAGATACGACAAAGGGGTTCTTTTTAGCGGTAAACGCGCAAACTTGTGTCTTCTGAGGATTAAACTGGACTAGATTTAGTCGCCCCCAATCCGAGACTTTGTCCAGCAAAGACTCGACTTCAGACACAAGTTTGTTCCGGTACTCGGCGACGTTTTCCCGAGAAATATTGGCCCGGCCGGTGTATAGAGCATCACCAGTGCTGTCATCCGCATAGCAATGAATGTTACCAGTTAGCAACATATCATTGATATGCAGAAGAAACAGCGTTGGTGATAGCACAAAGCCTTGTGGAACAACAGCGTTAATAGGCTTGTAGTCAGAACATGCACCGTCTACAACGACCTTGATGCTCCGATCTGCAAGAAAGCTGGTGATCCAATTGCACAATTTCTCGGGAAGCCCATAGGAAGGCAGCTTCGAAAGAAGCGCTTTGTGCCAAACCCGATCAAAGGCCTTCGCAATGTCCAGACTAACGGCCAACGCCTCCCCCTTGGACTCTACTGCCTTCGCCCATCTATGGGTCAGGTAGACCAGAAGATCACCAGCTGATCGACACCGACGAAAACCGTATTGGCGGTCACTAATCAGCTGGTGATCCTCAAGGTACCGGATGAGCTGGCAGTTAATAATGGATTCCATTATTTTGGAGAACAAGGAGGTGATCGCGATAGGCCTATAGTTGGACGGGTCTGAGCGGTCGCCTTTTTTAGGGATCGGGTGGACAAAAGCTGTCTTCCATGAATTCGGGACTACGCCTTGGGAGTAGGAGTACCGGAAAAGACGCGTTAGGACCGGTGCCAACTCCGGAGCACACGTCCTCAGCACAATTGGGGGGATTCCGTCAGGCCCACTCGACTTCTGGATGTCCAGGGAGAGAAGTGCTTTGCGAACTGAGCGCTGTGAGAATAGCACATCCGGCATGGAGCACTCACACCGCGGGATGGTCGGCGGTATTTTCCCCCCGTCATCAAGAGTCGAGTTGGACGCAAAAAGGGAGCCTAAAAGGTCGGCTTTGTCTTTTGCGTCTTGGGCCAGTGAGTCGTCCTCCCTGTGCAGAGAACACATTACATTACATTACATGTGTAATTCTTATTTAAAGTCATTTTTTACTTTACCACTGGTTCGAAAAAAAACGCTCTGTCCTGGGAAGAACCAGCAAGAAACCCAGCGGGACGTTTTTTTAAAATAAATTTTACAATATAAATGATTACGAACTATAATATATATACGAACTATGTATGATTACGAACTATATATGATTACGAACTATATATAGTCCCACTGGATTTCTTGCAGGTTCTTTCTAGTGCAGAGGTTTTTTCCTAAACTGGTAAAAGCATAAATTACTCTCAATAAGTATTCTTGTAATCTTCTTTATTGAATAAAAAATATTCTATTCTATTCTATTCAAACAAACGCATAATATAAAACGCATAATAAAAATCTGCTTCAAATCTTGAAATGGTCCCTGTTTAACCCATTTTAGAGTTGTTTTTCGTTTATTTGTAAAACTATGTTCGCTTCCATGTCCAGTTTTAGATTGTTATGGGCTGACATAGAAGAAAAAGAACTTTAGATTAAGCAAGCGGAATAAAAATAAGGAAATACTAAAACTATTGCATGCCGTAAGCGCAAAGCGCGCAGGCATGTTCTGGTAGGGCCTAAAATTTAAGATTCCAACGTTTTGTCGCATGAAATCGTATCTAGCAATCATATTATACAATATAAATGATATAAATAGCACATTGTCAGAAAGATAAATGATTGTTGAACTTATTAATATTTTTTTTTAATCAATTAATTGCTATTTTTACATAAAAAAGGGTTTTAGTGGCTTATGGTGTAGATTTATCAAGTCCGCATGGCTTCGTAAACACGATAACTTTGGGAAATATCAATTGATCAACTCAATTTATTTTTGAAATTCTTCATCTATCATGTGGGGGGAAGCCATGGAATTTGAATGGCAGTTTAATTTTGTTTTGTTTAGTTATTTTTTTCTGCCAAGAAATGGCTAAATTTTTGGTGGTTTGTGAGCCTTGTATTAATTAATTTAATAAATACACTGTTTTACTCCGTCATTGGTCATTCATTTGGGAATTGTGATTGGATATTGTATCGCTTGTTTACAGCGAAAAAGATCGCGGTAGAAATACAAAATATTCCAAAAACCAAATTTGATATATACTTGACCAAGGTAAGATGTTATTATTATTTTTATATCCACAGATTTTTATTACAATATTTTGTTTTCCTAAAAGCACGCAGGATTTATATATTAATATACTTATACGTCTTGGACTTTATAGACCTGAAAGTGTACTTCGGTATCTGCTACTGGAACTCCTCGACGAGGAGAACTAGATGCGCAGAAGTTTGGGCTCGTTTTGTTATTATGATGAGACCTTACCTCCGGATTTGATAGAGTGACTTGAAAGTGTACTTTGATAACTGCTACAGGAACTCCTGGACGAGGAGAACTAGATGTTCCGAGTTTGGGCTCGTTTTGTGAGTTATGATGACCTTACCTCCGGACTTGATAGAGTTAGAGACTTGAAAATGTACTTCGGTGACTGCTATTGGAAATCTTTGACGAATAGATCTACAATTTACATTTTTTTAATTTTTTCACGATCATATGATCATTATGAGTCGTGCATTTTTGTATTTTTTTTAAATTGAAATTTGACTTAAAATGATTGGAAAATTTGAAGTATAGTAATAATTATCAGGTTTTTAATGAAAACTTGTGTGTAATTAAACTACTTTAAAAATTACGTATTTATAATCATGTTATACGTAATTTTTTTAATACGCTTAAGGCATGCACAATTGGATTTACCAATATTTTTTATTTACAGGTGAAAGAAGAATACGTGTTCATACGCTAGCGTTACCTATAGCGAGCAATTTGACTGAAGTACTGCACGCGGCGGACCAACAGTGTATCATAGGCTTGCTAAGTAAAATGGGTAAGTTCTTACTTAAATTTTGTAATTTCGTTAATATTTTAACTCGTATAGTTATTCAGAGATTGGAAACTGGTTCCAATTTTGGATTTTGTTCTTTGTGAAGGCTGTAGACTTTTTAGTATGTACGGTTCCTGTTCTGACTCCAGTTAAAGTATCGGTTTTAGGATACCAGTTCCAAAATACTGAATTTATTAGGACTTAGACCGACTCCCTGACTCGAAAAAAAAACTCCAATTTCAACCAAGCATGATTCTCGAACTTATTGAAATTAAAAAAGAATCATCCTTATTTCATACATAATACACAGTAAGATTATCGGGTGCAACCATCTGCTTGTTATCCCATAATTAAGCAAATTAAATCCAAGCTCAAGAAGCAAATTCGTTTTGCATAGATTATACCAAAAACATCAGAATCAAACACCTTCCCCCTTGACTACACTCATAGAACTTTACAACAGCCTGAAACGTTTAGAATTAAATAAGTTAAATTAAACGCAATAAAATATGTAAAACTAGTTTTATTCAATAAAAATTCTCATAGAAGAAAAAGAAATAAATTAATAGTAAAAAACATTTATAAAAACAAGGTTTTATTTAAATGCTCTAAAAAGAAGAAAATAAACTTTAAATTAAATTGAACCCATCAATTTATTACATAATAATTTATATGACAAAAACTTGTCGCGAGACTTGATTGACTGATTTGACTTGATTGAAAAAAACATGATTTTTTCTTAGTATTCTTCGTAGTATTATTAGTTCGTATTCTTGTTTATGTACACAGGTAAACGTCGTGACAAGCTTTATATCATATAAATTGTGCAATGTGATAAATGAATGAATTTGATTTAATTCAAAGTTTATTTTCTTTTTTTTAGAGCATTTAAATAAAACCTTGTTTTTAAAAATGTTTTTTACTATTAATCTATTTTTTAGTTATCACTGGATATGTTTCTAAGACTGTTGTTCATTTAATGCCTCATTGTCGGTTTTTGATCACCCTCTTAGATGCGATCTTGATTTTTTTATCCCCAGCAGTTTTAGACTTTTGTCGGTCCCTACAACATTTGTTCGACCACAACCAAACTATTCCTAACCTTTGCCGAGGTATAACTCTTTAAATTCGCTATGGCGGCCATTTCGTTGTCCGCTATTTTAAATTTTTTACACCACTGCCAAAATTTGCCCAGTGTGTAGTTCGATATTAGTTAAGACACGACCCCGATAAGTCTTACCGTTTAGCCGGGCAGTAATACACCATCTCCTCGAAGAGCTGGACGCGGACGTAATTTTATTCGTATTCTTCTAAACAAATCCTTTCATTTGACACCCATGTGATGGGAGTGCATAGAAAATAACTATACTCAACCAAATCTAAGAAATACCTTTTGACAGCTGTCAGACTTATTGGACTAGGCACCAAAAAATCGGTACGTACAATATTCGATTCTTAAGAAGAATCGATATTGATTCTTTAGAGTTTTGTTTCGATTAATACCAGAATAAATTAGAAACGGATAATTTAAAACACAAGATTTATCAGTTTCTTCGTATTTATTGTTACTGCTTATTTCTAGAACCAAAGTTATATAAATTTAGAGTTTGAAAGTAGATTACAAATAACTTTATTCAATCACTTTCACTACAGTTAGTTGGGCTGTCGTTGCTTAGATTAGTTATCTGATTTTCAATAATGTAATCAAAATGAATATCTCTTTCAAAGTTACCTATAACAATTTTCTTTGTTTTCTCTATCACTTTTGCCCAATTATCCTTTGTGGCATGGGTACATGCTTCCTTCAGTAAACCATCCATTTTCTTCACAAAGCATAAGATATTTTCATCTCGTGTGTGTTTAAGTAGAGTTAATAATATGATTACACTTAGATCATTTCATATAAGAACTAGCCTTTGATTTGGGCCCAAATCAATTCAATAACATTACGTGTGTATAGAGGTATGGTTGTGATATTCAGTGGAATAAGTTGCTAGCATCTGTGTTTCCATCTGATTACGTGATGAATGAATAGGCTTGTGTTAAGTCAGCGCGCTTCACCGTTTTAGGCTACATCGCCACTTACCTCCTCTAACTTACATAACAGGTGGGATTGTAGTTAAGCACTGGCTTTAATATAAGAAAAATAATATTTTGTAAAAGGGTTATAAACCACTCTTTGAATGATTCTGCATTCATTTCCTGATCGTATTCTCTTGTATTCTTTGATTGGAAGGCTAATAAAGAATTTTCTACAAATCCACTTCAGGCGGATCCCGCATGGCAAATTATAAGGCGCCCACCTTTTCCCCAAGGGCACCTTCGAGCAAGATGCTGCAGTGTCATCTGTCTATATCTGCGGCACAGTATGATTGTCGTTTAACCACGTTTCATCAACGAATATGACGTTGTCCGAATTGGTTATAGTTTTCATTTCTCTTAATAATGTTATTCTTTGCGAGACTATTTCATGCCTCCGTAATTATTTTGTATGAATGTGTATTTCTATTGCCGCGAGTCTGACTCGCACTTCGCCGATTTTTTCATATTTTCAGCGTGTGAGGTAAATTATTCTCACTGCCCGAAGTCCCATAATTATCAGTGAAGATCTTGGCAACGATGCTTTTGCCAATTCCGAGTGCTTCACCGACACTATCCCGCACTCGTGTCTCTGGTAAAAGAGGCCCACCGTTGTGTGACTCATGTTCGAAATATTAGTGTAATTTTATCACCAATGCATGACTGTTCAAAGTGCAATTACTACAACTACGTTCTCTTTTATACATTATGGTCACTTGCTTGATCAAAGTCCAGTATATAACATGCCAAGGTCAACGAATATAGCAGAATCAGTTCAAAAAGTTATAGCCGAGTCACAAAATAGGACAAACACAAAATCATAAAAGTACGCACAGTAAGCTCCCAAAATGGCGGGAGCTTACTGTGCGTTATTGGATATGAGTTTCTTTGCCTACACAAATTAAAATTATAAATAAATAAACTTCTTTTATTCATGATTCATATAATTTAAGCAATTATAATTAAAATATAAATAAACAAATAATAAATTAAAACATTTAAAGATTCGATTATTTGAATATTTTACTGATTATTGCTATAACAATTAATTTTAATCATTCAAACACTTCGGTAAGGTACATATTTTATATGCTGCAGCTATATTGGTAGTATAGTTGTGGCACGAATGAGTCGGCTCAACCGCGGAAGGACCACGCTCTCACAGAATACCAGCGTAAAATAGCAGCTTAATGCTTCTGTGTTTCGTATGGTGAGTGTAGAGAACCGGAGACCCTTTTTACTGGAAGAGAGGCATTCCATCTTAGTCCTCAAGGGACGGGCGACGCATCTATCTGCATTTTGATTCTTTATTGAGGTCAAATGTAGATGTCTATGGGTCACAGCAACCACTAACCATCCAGGTGGACTGTGTGCACGTTTGTCACCCTATCCCATAAAAAAAAAACATAGCGACATATCATTGAAACAACGTCATGCAAAAAAGTTGACTCTGGTAATTTTTTTTTTTAATAATTTGCATTTTTGAATGGTTCGAACTTAAATTAATGATAAAGAACTATACTTACATGTAGTAATGAAATATGGATAATTTCATGATTCTTTGTATTTGTTATTTTAAGTCGTGTTAGTACGCTTGTACAAAGTTACTGCGGAATGATTAATGTGAAACGTCAAGAGGTATTTCTTAAATTTGGTTGAGTTTAGTACTCCATTTTGGGCGTTCCGTCGTATTGGATTTAGAGTGACGTCATTTAATTTTTCGTATTCACAGCAATCCCTTTCATTTAATACTCATAGTATGGGATTGTATTAAAAATAACTAGTCCACCATATTGGATTTAGAGTGACCTCACTTAGCTAGGCGTACATTTAAAAATCAGTTGAAAAATTTTACCCGAACAATTCAACCCCAAAATCGTAATAATGGCCTCTAAAAACCCCGAGATAACAAAATTACAGGTGGATTGGAGCAACTAAGTTTTTAATCGTCAACTTAGATTCGCCATCTTGAATTTTTTTATCACCAGCAGATGACTCTTGTTGGTCCCTACAACAATTGTTCGAGGACAACCAAACTATCCCTAACCTTTGCCGAGTTTACCACTCTTTAAAATTGGTATTAGATTATGGACTTGTAAGGTTATACTTTTGTCAGTGTTAAGTAATAAAAAATATCCTTTAAAATATTTTATAAAAACTCTCCACAATATGCGGTTCTTTCCGACGTTTTTGGGTTGTTGCTTCCCGTCGCCGGTTTGGTTATTTTATTCCTGACATAAACATAATGGCTATACGACTATTTTTGAAACCCATAAAATTTTTCTGTTTTTTCCCGTAGTCGCCTTTACGACATTGACGGAACTAAACCAGGCCTCCGTCACTCGCTCATGACCCTGCGTTATATGCCTACCGTTTTGTGTATCGCCCACGATACAACCGACATTGGGCTGCCGCACGCCCACCTGAGCGCTTGCACCGCACACGTTTCCCGCGCTTACTCTTCGAAATGTAGAAACCACGTAATTATTGTGCAGTGGATAGGTGTCAGAGTCAAAAAATAAATGAAAAATTGTCTTTTTTTTCTTAACTATAAGATTACATCGAAACAAAGCATAACAGTGCTGTAATTTATAAATTGTGTGACAACCATTTTCAACGATAAAATTTAATAACCGAGAATTCAAATTGAAGGAAAAAAAATGTATAAATCATTTTATAAAACTCAAATTATTGACAAATAAAAAATATGGTAATTTCGCAAGATTTGTTTTATTACAATAATCATCATAGGTACAACCCTAGAGCATTCGTGCGATGACGCGCTTGCACGTGAGTCGCACGGCGGTCAACACAATCTCGACTCTTTATGCGCGTATTTATGGTACATTTTCCTCTCGCTGCGAACAGTAGATATTATTATTAAGATTTTGTAGGCTATTTTAGCGTAGGTATTTTCGCTTTTGTATGGGAGTGATGTATCTGTTTAGTAAACTATTAACTAATCTGTGACTAAACGGGGTGATGAATTCTTTTACACCACTATCACACGGTTAACTTAATAGAACTGTTACATTTTGAAATATGTCGTATGGTTTTTCGAATAAAGTGATGTATGATCGATAAATGTTTGTTTGTAGCGGTGGATCGATGCGCGTCGGCGTCGATGTCGGAAGCGCGCGAAGCGCTGATGAACGTGGCGGTGGACGCGCTTTCGGCACACAGGCTGTCGCAGAACCTGCCGGCGGGCAACGTGAGCAGCGCGCTGTACGCGCCTGCCTCGCTGCGCCTGCTGCCGCTCTACTTGCTGGCCTTACTCAAGCGGGTGAGTGTATGTTGTACGCTGTACGCACACAAGCTAGCGCAGAACCTGCCGGCGGGCAACGTGAGCAGCGCGCTGTACGCGCCTGCCTCGCTGCGCCTGCTGCCGCTCTACCTGCTGGCCTTACTCAAGCGGGTGAGTGTATGTTGTACGCTGTACGCACACAAGCTAGCGCAGAACCTGCCGGCGGGCAACGTGAGCAGCGCGCTGTACGCGCCTGCCTCGCTGCGCCTGCTGCCGCTCTACTTGCTGGCCTTACTCAAGCGGGTAAGTGTATGTTGTACGCTGTACGCACACAAGCTAGCGCAGAACCTGCCGGCGGGCAACGTGAGCAGCGCGCTGTACGCGCCTGCCTCGCTGCGCCTGCTGCCGCTCTACCTGCTGGCCTTACTCAAGCGGGTGAGTGTATGTTGTACGCTGTACGCACACAAGCTAGCGCAGAACCTGCCGGCGGGCAACGTGAGCAGCGCGCTGTACGCGCCTGCCTCGCTGCGCCTGCTGCCGCTCTACCTGCTGGCCTTACTCAAGCGGGTGAGTGTATGCTGTACGCTGCACGCACACAAGCTAGCGCAGAACCTGCCGGCGGGCAACCGCGCTGTACGCGACTGCCTCGCTGCGCCTGCTGCCGCTCTACCTGCTGGCCTTACTCAAGCGGGTGAGTGTATGCTGTACGCGCACAAGCTGGCGCAGAACCTGGTTGTTTGAGCTTGACGCTAGATGTTCATTGTCTGAAGTAGTCGCTTAGGTCGTTTGGCACTAATTAAAAAATAAATTCTTATTATAACATTAACATTTTTTTACAGAAAGCGTTCCGCACGGGCACGTCGACACGTCTCGACGAGCGCGTGGCGGACATGTGCGCGCTGAAGTCGCTGCCGCTGTCGCAGCTGATGCGCCTGGTGTACCCCGAGCTGTACGCGCTGCACGACCTGAGCGAGCACGCGTCGCGCCCCGAGGAGGACGACGACGACGAGCCCACGCCGGAGCCCCCGCGCCTGCACCTCTCCGCCGAACGGTAAGTGCACTTTCTTTATATTTACGATCAGACCTATCAGCCTGGCTGCACCTTTATTGAGCGGTTAGATTGCGCATGTTCTTTAGTTGTACAACCAGACCTTACCTGTACCTTTTCGCTAAGCGGTGAGACTGCGCAACTTCTTTGATAATACAAGGAAAATTACCCTATGCTTGCACCTCTCTGCCGAGCAATGTGACTGCGCGACTTTTATGGTTGTACGACAAGGGCAATTTACCCTATGCCTGTACCTCCGCCGAGCGGCGTAACTGCCCAACTTCTATAGTTATACAAAGGCAATGAACCATGTGCCTGTACCCTTTACCACCGAGCAATGAGATTTCGCAACTTCTTAGATTGAAAATTACAATTATATAGTAAAATGAATGTGATTTACCTTTCATACGAACTTTCATACGAACGTGTTTTCACAAAAACGCTTAATATCCAACAGGATCAGTTCGAATGGCGCGTACCTGTTGGACGACGGCGAGACGATGATCATCTACGTGTGCTGCAACGTGAGCGCGGCGTTCCTGTCGGAGACGTTCGGCGTGGCCGCGTTCAGCCAGCTGGCAGACGAGGCGCGCAGCGTGCCGCGCCTGCAGACCGCCGGCAGCCGCCTGCTGCACGCGCTGCTCGACCGCCTCAACGAGGAGCGGCCCTACCCCGCCGGCCTGCTCGTGCTCAGGTTGGTAGCCCTGCCGCCTGCCGCCTGCTGCACGCGCTGCTCGACCGCCTCAACGAGGAGCGGCCCTACCCCGCCGGCCTGCTCGTGCTCAGGTTGGTAGCCCTGCCGCCTGCCGCCTGCTGCACGCGCTGCTCGACCGCCTCAACGAGGAGCGGCCCTACCCCGCCGGCCTGCTCGTGCTCAGGTTGGTAGCCCTGCCGCCTGCCGCCTGCTGCACGCGCTGCTCGACCGCCTCAACGAGGAGCGGCCCTACCCCGCCGGCCTGCTCGTGCTCAGGTTGGTAGCCCTGCCGCCTGCCGCCTGCTGCACGCGCTGCTCGACCGCCTCAACGAGGAGCGGCCCTACCCCGCCGGCCTGCTCGTGCTCAGGTTGGTAGCCCTGCCGCCTGCCGCCTGCTGCACGCGCTGCTCGACCGCCTCAACGAGGAGCGGCCCTACCCCGCCGGCCTGCTCGTGCTCAGGTTGGTAGCCCTGCCGCCTGCCGCCTGCTGCACGCGCTGCTCGACCGCCTCAACGAGGAGCGGCCCTACCCCGCCGGCCTGCTCGTGCTCAGGTTGGTAGCCCTGCCGCCTGCCGCCTGCTGCACGCGCTGCTCGACCGCCTCAACGAGGAGCGGCCCTACCCCGCCGGCCTGCTCGTGCTCAGGTTGGTAGCCCTGCCGCCTGCCGCCTGCTGCACGCGCTGCTCGACCGCCTCAACGAGGAGCGGCCCTACCCCGCCGGCCTGCTCGTGCTCAGGTTGGTAGCCCTGCCGCCTGCCGCCTGCTGCACGCGCTGCTCGACCGCCTCAACGAGGAGCGGCCCTACCCCGCCGGCCTGCTCGTGCTCAGGTTGGTAGCCCTGCCGCCTGCCGCCTGCTGCACGCGCTGCTCGACCGCCTCAACGAGGAGCGGCCCTACCCCGCCGGCCTGCTCGTGCTCAGGTTGGTAGCCCTGCCGCCTGCCGCCTGCTGCACGCGCTGCTCGACCGCCTCAACGAGGAGCGGCCCTACCCCGCCGGCCTGCTCGTGCTCAGGTTGGTAGCCCTGCCGCCTGCCGCCTGCTGCACGCGCTGCTCGACCGCCTCAACGAGGAGCGGCCCTACCCCGCCGGCCTGCTCGTGCTCAGGTTGGTAGCCCTGCCGCCTGCCGCCTGCTGCACGCGCTGCTCGACCGCCTCAACGAGGAGCGGCCCTACCCCGCCGGCCTGCTCGTGCTCAGGTTGGTAGCCCTGCCGCCTGCCGCCTGCTGCACGCGCTGCTCGACCGCCTCAACGAGGAGCGGCCCTACCCCGCCGGCCTGCTCGTGCTCAGGTTGGTAGCCCTGCCGCCTGCCGCCTGCTGCACGCGCTGCTCGACCGCCTCAACGAGGAGCGGCCCTACCCCGCCGGCCTGCTCGTGCTCAGGTTGGTAGCCCTGCCGCCTGCCGCCTGCTGCACGCGCTGCTCGACCGCCTCAACGAGGAGCGGCCCTACCCCGCCGGCCTGCTCGTGCTCAGGTTGGTAGCCCTGCCGCCTGCCGCCTGCTGCACGCGCTGCTCGACCGCCTCAACGAGGAGCGGCCCTACCCCGCCGGCCTGCTCGTGCTCAGGTTGGTAGCCCTGCCGCCTGAGTAGAGAGTTCGTAAGAGGCGACTGATCCACGTTCCACGGTACAAGTACCTTATTAAACAGTAACAAGGTACGCTTAGTTCATTTTGTTGCCCAGCCGAGTTGAATCCGTCAATTGACCTCTCGGTCGAGGTTGGATTTACCTAGTCGGACTATTTGTCCCAGGTAAACATACTCGTCAACAACTTCGAGCTTGGTGCTCCCAACAACTACCGACATAGGTGTGACATGGACATTAAACATGATCTTTGTTTTGTCCATGTTCATCCTAAGACCTATTCGTTGGGAGACACTATTGAGGTCATTGAGCATAGTGCTTAGGTCCTCCAGCGATTCTGCCATAAGGACTATGTCGTCGGCAAATCGAAGGTGAGTGATGTACTCGCCATTGATGTTAATACCGTATCCTTTCCAGTCCAGAAGCTTGAAAACGTCTTCCAATGCAGCGGTGAAGAGTTTCGGGGATATAACGTCACCCTGTCTTACACTCTCTGCAACTGGATAGGTTTCGTACTCTGGTTCTGTACTCGGATAGCCATCGTAGCTCTACTGTACAAACACTTCAGCACTTCGATATACCGACAGTCAACTTGGCACCGCTGAAGGGACTGCAGCACCGCCTAAATTTCGACGGAATCAAAGGCTTTCTCATAGTCCACATACGCCAGACCTAGTGGCAAATTGTACTCTTCGGACTTCTGTACAATTTGCCGAAGGGTATGTATGTGGTCTATGGTGCTAAAGCCCTTTCGGAAACCGGCTTGTTCGTGCTAAAGCCCTTTCGGAAACCGGCTTGTTCGGGAGCTTGGAAGTCGTCAAGTCTGCGCGCGAGACGATTCGTAATGACTCTCGAAAACAGCACGTAGACTCGGCTCAGAAGGGAAATCGGTCTGTAGTTCTTCAAGAGAGCGTTGTCACCTTTCTTGAAGAACAAGACCACCGCACTTCTGCTCCACGCCTCCGGTGTAATGCCACCATGGATGACGGAATTAAAGAGCTTCTGAAGGACTTCAAGTCCCGGTCTTCCACCCGCTTTCAGAAGCTCCGCTGTAATTCAAGGTTGTTGTTTTTAAGGTACTGGAGAGCCATTCTAATCTCGCTCAGACTGACGTCCGGGATATCTTCGGAATAGTGTCGGATAAGACTCGCTCTTGGATCGTTACTCACACTTGCGTGTGGCTCCAACGATGACGTGTACAGCTGCCCATAGAACCTCTCAATCTCACTCAAAATCTCAGGTGCCCCGGAAACGATGCTGCCACACTCGGTCTTCAGCTTTGACAGTTGGCTCTTTCTGGCAGACAGATCTCTGGCAAAGACTTTGGAGCCTTGGTTCCGCTCGATCGCTTTTTCAATACAAGCTGTATTGAAGTTGCGTAAGTCCTGCCGCATGCATTTGGAGATCTGTCTGTTCAGTTGCCTGTATGCTGTCAAATCTGTTGAAGAATGTAGCTTCATCTCCCGTCTAACAGCCATGAGATTAAGAGTGTGATCAGAGAGTTTTTGTGTTCTTCTGCGGCGGGTCTTTCAGAACTTTGCTCCGACCGCATGGACAGTTTCCACGAGCTTGTCATTCATACGAGGGCGGCACTGAAAATTTCGGGAATCAAGGATTCCCGAAATTTCATCAGTGACACAACATTACTATTTAAAAATGTATTTATTGCTTTTCGAAGTATTCTCCGCGAAATTTGACACATTTTTCCATACGATGGAACCAATCATTGAAGCAACCATTCCATTCGGAAGTTGGGGTCTCCAAAATGGCCGTTTTGTAGGCGTCCACAGCTTCTTCAGGTGATGAAAATCTCTGTCCACGCAATTTATTCTTTATTTTAGGGAAAGTATAGAAATCATTAGGGCTTAGGTCGGGGCTGTACGGCGGATGGTCTAATAATTCTATGTTTTCTTGCTCTAAAAACTCTTTTGTTCTGTGTGCGGTGTGAGAACTCGCATTGTCGTGATGGAGGATGATGCGGTGGTTGCAGTTCTCTTTACGGAGTTCAGAAACGACCTGTGGCAAACAAATGCTAGCATACCATTCTGCATTAACCGTTCTTTGTCCCTCAAGAGGAATAGTCGTAACATGGCCGGTTTTGGAGACAAACGTGGCCACCATTTTTTTTGCAACACTTCGTGAACGAACAATTTTTGTTGGCGTTAACTCATTTTCGAACACCCAAACTCGTGACTGGTTTTTTGTTTCGGGTTCGTACGCGTATATCCAGGATTCGGCACCTGATACGATGTTGTGTACAGCATTTGAGGATCCTGCGTGGAATCTTTCGAGAGTTCTGACGCACCAAGTAACGCGAGCCGCTTTTTGCTCTTCACAGTGCGAATGCGGTATCCATCGGAAAAACAACTTTTTTACACCTAATTGTTCATGCAAGATTATTTGTATTTGACTCATGCCAATGTCTAAAGTTGCCTGAATTTCGCGGTATGTCACATGTCGATCTTCCTCAATCAGCTTACGCACAGCATCAACGTTTTCTTGGGTGACTGCAGTTTTTGGACGCAGGACTGTTTTTGTGTTAAGCCACTTCGAAAGTCATAATAAATCATCGCTCTTGAATTTTCTCGAGTCAATTCCATTTTCTCAACGACTAAACAAGTTTGACAAAACCTTGTGACAAGACCGAGAATCTTTTTTTAAATAAATAAATGGTATTCGATTTTTAAAACCAAGGACTTTTTAATTAAAAAGATTTTAATATGACGGGAACAGTGGAAATATTCCATTCCCGATATTTTTAGTTCAGCCTATGTATCGTCCACTTCATTGCAGTCTTCTAGGCACTGAAAACGGTTTTGTAACTCGAGCTGAAAGGTTTCGGGACTTTGGAACAGAGCACGAGGGGGACGGAGCGTTGACTTCATTAGACGAGACCTCTCCAACTTAACGTTCAGTGTGCCTCTAACCAATCGGTGATCGCTACCAGTTTTCACCCTCGCGATCACGGAGACATCACTGAACAGTTGTCGTCTGGTCGTCATAATGAATTCAATCTCATTTTTTGTGGAACCGTCGGGGCTCGACCAGGTCCACTTCCTGTGGGGCTGCTTCTGGAAGAAAGAGTTCATCATAAAGAGTCCCTCTTTCTCCATGAAGTCGGCCAGCTGCTGGCCACTTGGGTTCCGTTGCCCTATTCCAAATTTCCCTACTTTCAGCTCACCGTTCTCTCTTGTGCCTAGTTTTGCATTGAAGTCTCCCATTAACACCGTATATTTGGTTTTGGAGGAATGCATTGCTCTAGAGATATCCTCATATATTTTCTCCACCTCCTCATCGGGATGTGCCGAAATTGGTGCGTAGACCTGTATGACCTTCAGCGAATACCGTTTGGTGATTCTGAGTATAAGGTACGCAACCCTTGTCGACACACTCAATCATTACAACGTTGTTAACGAGAGACTTGTGGACCATAAATCCGACACCTCCTTGGGACAGATGGTCGCCCTCCCGGTGATAGAGCAAGTTGCCGGATTCGAGGATTACCATATCCTCCCCCTCTCTTCGGATTTCGGATAATTGATTATGTTGATATAATTATTTTTTCCAAATATCATATATCAATTGATACGAATCAATCGATTTGATACGAATCAATTGATTTGATACGACTTAGGGACCTTCAAGAAAAGAGCGTACTCCTTTTTAAAGGCCGGCAACGCATCTGCAATTCCCTCCCTGGTGTTGCAGTTGTTCATGGGCGGCGGTAGTCACTTACCATCAGGTGAGCCGCATGCTCGTTTGCCCCCTATTCTATAAAAAAAAATCAATGTGCATACATTGTCTAAGGACAATGGTAATGACAAATGAGACTTTGGCATCTAAAAACATTTAACCTTTTTCTGCAATTATTAATAAAATGTCATCTAGAAAAGCAGCCTGAGGCTGTACATTGTCTGTTCTATTCCTCTCAAAACCCACGTAACACATAATTGTCATTATGGGGGCGCAACAACCTACTGTCCAATAAATCGAGAGAAAAGCCACGGGTCAAGTTAGATTAATTCACGAAATTAAAAACACGAAATATATTCACAAACACAACCACAATGCCAAATGTGCATGACAAGTTTAAAATCGAAGTTACCAAGTTAAGTCTCCTTCGAAACAGGCAATGATCAACGACCATACAGCCTATTCAATCGTGTCCGATATTATTCAAATATTTTGTTTAGTTTAATAACGTAGCCTATTGAATCGATTTTCTAAATAGATTTATTTTATTCAGTATTAATCTCTACAGATTCGCCTCAATATTTTAATAATATGAGTTTTTTTGATACTGAAGGCTATTTATTACAAAAAATAGCCTTCATTATCTAATGCCATAGACAAAATACATAAAAATATTTTAAAACGTTTAGTTTTTGCTATGGTAAAAGCCTTACCTTTCGTTTTGCAGTTGCAGAAATAAAAACCATTTAATTATATTATCTTATATATAGCTTATAATTTATCGTTATATTACCTACATATTTTTGTATAACTGTTACGAACGATGTCAAGCACCCAATTTCATACATCTCCTTTAACAGACTTACGAATGCGAGTGCGTTTCAAGATTAGGCATTTCTTCCAAGTAATGCATGCCAGCTGGTGTCATCTTAGAAAAAAACGCGGGGACATTAAAGAGCTGTAATTGATGACAATGATAATAATAATACATTGTTCTTTATCAACGACAAAGAATTTTGCTTGCTCAGCTTAATAGTCATGCGTACTTTATAATAGTTATGCCTAAATACTCAAACGGTACTCATTTTTAAAATGCCGTTAAGTCTCATGCTGTCTTCAGTTTTTCTAGATCGTCCCCGCCATTACATTAGATTTGATAGACCACAAATCCTCGCAAAAGAACACCGACTCTTACCAAGGATGATTCGCGAGGCTGTTGATATTGAAAAACATCCTAATTTCAATAGAGAAGATGGATGGGTGTTGCCATCTGCTTGGGATCCTATAATTAATAAAATTAAATCCAAACCCAAGCATACCACTATACGAGCAAGACTTCAATATACTGTAAGCTCATTCTGCGTAGATCGGACCAAAAATTAATATTCAAAAACTGAAGATAGCCGGGCTAACTATGACATCGGGACGTCAAACAGCTCAGTCCCCCCCGTGACCACGGGTGCTATAAAGCACCCGAAACGTGGGGAATTAAAAAAGTTAAATTAAACGTGATAAAATCCGTAAAAATTAGTTTCATTTAATGTGTAGTCTTCGCGTAAATATAAGAAATCATCCTCATGCTGTCTCCTATCGTTTTAAGTCTGAAGTGACGGGGTACCACGAGACTTAACGACATCTTAAAATTGAGTAACGTTTGAATTGCTACCGCAGACTACTATCATTAACAACTTTAAAGAGTAAATGTGCATTATTATGGTACATGGCACCACATCATGTACTTACATACATATGTCGCAGTAAGATAGTTAAAGCCGTGATATAATTATATCCCTAGGGATATAGCTATATACTGGTTCATAACTATCTTACTAAACTAATCCAGTGAAATAATTATAATTGTAAACTGGAATGTACAGGAGGAACAAATTTCGCGACATTGACGTTCCTGTTGTGTTGTTGTTCATGTTCCTTTTTTGACTTACTGACCGACATTACTACAACACATACTTAATTATTGTTTTATTTCAGGGATAACTCACCATCACGGCAACAGTTCATCGAGCGCTTAGTGGACGACAGAGTTGAGTCCGCGTTCTCCTACTACGAGTTCTTACAACACGTGAAGAATCAAGTGAAATGAGTCGAGAGTGACTTGTGAGTGACTTCACAATTCCGCGCTATGGCTGGACACTTATACATGTGCTAGCACTAGTTAGAATACGATACGAACATTATAGTGATATTTGGAATTTTATCGCGACACTGCCCTTAATACATCCTAATCAACTGTTTTAATATTCAAATGGTAGCTTTGCGATAGATGAAAGAACGGCTTTGTTGTATATTGCTTGGAAATTTGATTAAATTGGGATTGGTCGATGTCAATAAATGTTGTTGGTGTTTTGCGGGAGTTTAAAGATTTCTGATAGTCTCATGAACGATTTAGAATCAAAACAATATTACTTCGTAGTGGTTTTCAGTTTACGATAAATTTTTATACACCATTGAATTTTTTAGATATGGTAAAATATTTTAAATTATTATATTTTTTAGGTTAAATTCAAATGATTGAGGCTATCAAGAAGTTATATATAGTATGTTTACGATTGTTTAGATAGTATGAAATAGTATGAATGAAATTGTATTATAAAATCGACTATGATGAAATAAATATTTAAATTACCAAAAAAAATGATTGTAAATTGTTACCTTATTCAGTGGGTTCTTGGAAAATTGTATTCGTTACAAATTCCGTAATTAGATTATACACACTCGAAAGGTATGTCGCTTAAAAACATCGTGAAATGGAACAAATGGTATAGATGCCTTTTATAACCTTCAAATTCCTTTTTTATATAAATATTTCTTATCTTAAAGTTATAGTAATAAATATATAGATAGTCATATATAAATAGTTATGGCCCAACCAGAAGAGTGAAAACTTTATGAACTCAAGTTTTCTATGAAGAAATTAAAATGAAAGAATATTTTAAAGCGTCTCCCACACAGACGCGGCTTGCGGTAGCGGCCGCGGTGGCGGCCAGTTGTATTCGCTTGCAATGTAAGTGAGTCTGTAAACTCGTGCGGCCATCGCGCGGCAGCGGCTGGCCGCGGCGGGCCGCGCCATGCTCCGCCCCATTTGCCAACGCGTGTGTGTTAGCGAGTACGCGGTCAGTCAATAACCACAGCGCGGTCACTTGTAAATTTTTACAACAGGCTGCGTGTACCGCGTGAAAAATGGTGCTAAGTTCAGAGGTTTCAATAGAAACAGTGCAAAACTATCTTGTACTTTATGATAATTCGCATCGTGATCACAAAAGCATTAGGATTAAAAACAAAATATATGATAATATTGCTGAATATAATAAAACTTCGCCACGGTTTGTCATGTTTACTGACGTCCGATCGTAGCACAGACACCACAGCGAATGGCGCTTCAGGCCGCCATTCCGGCCGCGGTGGTATGTTGTTGCAGCGGCTGGAGCCGCGGCCCGCGGTTAGCCGCCACCGCAAGCCGCTTGTGTGTGGGAGACGCTTTAAACCGCACAATAAATATTATAACTATATGGAACATCACAAAAAAATTGAAAAAAGAACGCATCCACATAAGGAAAATTTTATACACGTTGTAATCTATGTGGTACTGCATATATCGTTTATCATATTATAGTTTTAAATAACATTATGTATAGTCATTGACATAACATAAATTTTACACTATCGTGAGCTTCATAAATATAGGCCGTTATATGAAATAGTTTGTACATTTTTAAGGTTCTCTCGTTCTTTTGTTATGAATAAAATAATATTAACGAGAATTTACTTCTACTGTTTTTCAAGAACAGTTTTTAGAAAAGAAACATCGGTAGAGACGTAAACTACGTGAGTTTTATTTTGTACCTTTTTAGAAGATTATATGAGACTCGGCAGTGTTTAGTTTTAATAGTGCCAGGACATCACAATTACTCAGAAAATGACTTGAAATATATGAAGTGGCTTATATAAACTAGCAGATTATTGATCAATTAAATCACGTGGCTTCCATGATGTAGTACTAAATTATTAAACATATTTATAGACGACTTCTTGTTGGCGAAGTTTTCTATTTATTGCTATATAAGGTCCCAGGAAGCGCTCCCGTTATAAGGTTTTATCTTCTTTTTTGATGAGGTTATGGTTTAATTTTTAAATACCGTTCATGGTATTTAAAAAAAACTACTTACAGTACACTGTCTTTCAAGACAGTCTACTGAAAATAAAGGCGAATTAATCAAACTTTTATTAGTGGCGTAAGACAGGTTATTTTATGTATCCTTCTTAAATAAGTTGCCTAAATGAATGAGTCTGAAATATTATTTCATGTTGGAAAACCTTAGCCTGTGTCTTCGGCAGATGGCGTTTTAATTTATTTTATTTTAACGCTTTCACTTACCTAGACGTGCATGTATGAAGAAGATAATGAATCTGAAAGAAGCGAAAGAGGTATGTAAGGATCGTGACACTTGGCGATCTGTTCTCTCTGGCTAACCCGTTAGGGATTGTGCGTGAAGATAAGTAGTAAGTAGTAGACTTTCACTGTCCGGTTTTCAGACACAATAGTAAGACAATAGTAATGACACTAAAATACAAAATAACGGGTACAGTTATTTGTAGTGCACGGGACAGCGAGAGGATTAAGTAACGTCAAGAATAAAGTCAAAATTGTACCTGTTTTAGTAAACTTAAACAAAGATGACATATTTAAAATTTATTTCAATATTTTATTTAGCTTGTTTTTATACATGGGAAAGCCGCAAAAACTAACACTCTAACACTCGATTGGAACGAAGTTTCTTTCGTAGTATATTATTATTGATAAACGTATTATATTATTGATTAACAAATACAAATAAATAAATTACTAGCGTCTATTAAAATGAAACGTCATTTAAAATAATATTTCTTTCATGGCAAGATAAGAAAAAGTGCGAGGGAGATGGATATTATTCCATCTCGCTCGCACTATAGAAAGGGTCGTGACGGAAAAATCTTACACTTTTTTTTCTCGCCTAGTCCCCATCCGCCAATTTTGTTCCGTGCATTAAGGAACTTCGTTCCAAAAATAATCCTAAAGTTCGCGCCCCAATCCAGTTCTGAATTTTGTAATCAAACCGAGTCGCTCGTGTTGCTGTGCTAGCGGTCTTCACATAACCAATATATTTACTTGTGCATATAAAGGTATATCACCGAGTACGTTAATAATTTATTGGTGCCCCGCATTGGAGATCGAATTTAGGCTGTGAGACATGGTCCTAGAGCGGAATAAATTGGAAAGCCGTAAGGGTGCCAAGGTGGGGCGGGGTTCAGGGCGCCATTTACATAAATCCCCTACCGCGCGTAATTTAAAATACAAAATAAGGTTTTATTATTGTATATTAACAGTTCGGTTATTTTAAAAAAGTTGAGTAACGTGACGGACATATTATAATGTGGATGATCTGTAATGTAGGTCTTTTGATAATGATTTGTTATATTCCTCTCCGAGATCATGGGTGCGACAACGACCGGATCGTCGTGAATTAATAATTAAGAATTAAAAACTTTGTACAACCGACTTCAATATAAATGATTAAGAATAAGTTAAAAACTATTGGTCAAACCTTGATCAAATTTATATGAGGCCACATGACAAGCATCAGCTTTTAAATTAAAAAAAAAACCATTCGTGAGTGTCGTGGAAGACTCGGTTGGAACGAAGTTCCTTTCGTAGTATTTTTTTTAAATCCTAGTAATGCTTAAACATTACTAATATTCCCTTTAACCACTTCTGGTAAGCTTAACATACTTGTGTTAGAAGTGGTTCACGACAGTAGTCGAATGGCGGATTCGAACCCACGACCTTTCAAGTTCGCGGTCCGCGCTCTGCCATTAGGCTACTGACGCTTATAATTATTATTATTGATAAACCTATTATATTACTTATTAACAGGTACAAATAAATGCGTTACTAGCGTCTATTAAAATGAAGCGTCATTTGAAATAAAATAATATTTCTTTCATGGCAAGATAAGAAAAGTGCGAGTGAGGTGGATATTATTCCTCCATCTCGCTTCCTTATAGCCGCCAAGGTCGTCTACACTACGTCAGAAGGGGTCGTGACGAAAAAATCTTACACTTTTCTCGCCTAGCTCTCATCCGCTAAATCCGTATCGTCCGATAAAGAACTTCGTTCCAAAAAGAATTATCGAAATCGGTTCACCCAGAAAAAAGTTATGAGGTAACACATAGAAAAAAAGAACATACAGTTGAATTGAGTACCTCCTCTATTTTGAAGTCTGTAGAAAAAGTTAAAACTAAACGCGATAAAATCCGTTAAATTAGTTTTATTAAATATTAAATTAGTTTTGTTAAATTAGGTTTTTTTTTGTTTGTTCTAATTTTGTTATTTTATTGTAGTGATAGTTTTATAGGTTACTGTTCTCCTTAAAGGAAGTCTTTTATTATATGTTGTGTTTACCTTTAATTTAAATGCATATATACAATTTTTTTAAGTGCACCTCATAATAATTGTTTCTATATGTATTTAGTTGGTAAGCCTTATTAAATAAAATAAAAAAAAAAAAAATAAGTAGTTCTTTTGGTTTGTAGACAGACCATCATAGATCGTAACCGAGTTTTTTACTTATTACCCAAAGTTACACACAGAAATATTCACTTGTTAGTATTTTGTTTCGGAAAGGAAATAAAACCCCAATGATAAGAGTAAGCACTGTCGTAATGTAAACAATCAAATAAAATTAGATCTCGGCTGCCGAGATCTAATTTTATTTGATTGTTTGATGAGAGTTGAGAGTTCTCGTCGTCCTCCTGACAGGACTCAACTCTCATAAGTCTAGAAATGTCTACTCTATACGTCCTGTGGAACTTTCTTGAAATTCCATCTACTTATTTGTAAAAAAATCTAGATAGATTTTACATCCGCGATGAATTCGGTGATTTTTTTATGAATTGCGTTAAGACTTGCGAAGAGGAGTATGTTTTACGCAGTAGACACTTCCGTTTGTTAACGTAAACATGTCGCCACGACCTAAATAATATTGCGTATCATCAACATTGATAATAGATACTTAATGAAGCTATTATCAATATTAAACCTTTGTTTATAGTGTTTATTCTAGAAGGTCTCTTATTATTGTTACAACGAACTATAGTGAGAGATGTAAATACACCTATCTCCTCCTATATCGAGTGCTTTGTTGATACTAGATAATTTATTTCTTGTTACGAGAATGTTGTTTTCAGTAAACAAGTCAATTAACTTTTTAGTGCTGCTTTCTTATTACGAAAGTTTAATGTGTTTTCGAATAATTTGATCTTATGAAGAGTTGTTTTTATACCAGATACCTCTTTAGTTTTTAGTAGATTCTATAACAGACTTCTCTGTCACGCCTTTTAGGTTTTAAATAATTAAGAGGCGTATGTCACCTAGGTTTGCCACCTTTTTTTGATTAAATATAGTATTTTTGCCAAAAAAGACTGAAAAATATAGTACTTTTGGGAAATTCAGGAAAAAATCTTTATGCGTTTTCCATATAAATTTGTTATTGCTTTTCGCTTTGGCTGTCAACATTTAAAATAATTATAGGAATCTGAGCAATTTAGATTCATGTTAAAAAAATTAACAATTTTAATTTTTTTAACATGTCACAGTTAATATAAAAAAATCGCGACATTTGAATTAGGGCAAAATATAGTATGTATTATTTTACTATAGTATAGTTGTACTATATTATTTTTCTATAATATATAGTACAATTGACTGAAATATAGTACGATACTATATATATACGTGCTATTGGGACATTACTCGCAACATCTATATGCCTATTTTGAAGCTTAGCCATGTTCAACACCCCAATATAAAGTCTAGCAACACAGGCATGCTAACGACGTTGCCAGTTAAATACCACGTGTAAACCGTACCTA